TAACTATTCTATGATTACAGTGCACCATTAAATTGTTGCAATTTATAAAAATGACTCCACTGTAACACTACATCCAGCAGGGGAAATACATACTTTCATTTAGAGCAGCTTTGAAATTACTTTTGGATACATCTAACCCCTTTAAAATTGGAATTCCAGCAATTTCACCAAACCCCTGTCTGGGTCTTATATTCAAGAACAGAAACCCTACTCAGTACATACCTCCAAGGGAAAACATTACTGTTATCCAAAATGGCATTAAGATTTAATACAAGCAACAGAATAATTCAGCCTCTTAAAATTCAGTAACGATTCCTCTGATCTGACACATAGTGCAGCTGATTGCAGAACTACCATTAGCTTCAGTGATTTGGCTGCAAGCTTCCTGACAAATTCAAAATTATATCCAAATCACACAACATCATTTATTATGATGTAAGCTATTACACAGTAAATTAAAAATCAAAGCTAACAGATGTTTCTACTGCTCTGTTTACTTAAAAGTTGTGCAACTAAAGGACACCATTTTTAATTTTTTATATAAACATACGCACATGCTACCACATCTAAGTACGTTTAATATTTAATGCAAACAGTATGACTTCTATGAGAATTCAGTGCTGCCAGTGATGCCAGTACCACTGTTGACATTAGGTAGCAAGTGTTCACAAGTGTTTTCAGAGTTCAGACCCATAACTGATGTAGTAACAGTAAACAGCCATACCCCGATGCATGTCCTCCAACAAAGTTAAGGTTTCAAGAGGAAAGATGGGATTTCTATACCATATCCACATATCAGAGGCCAGAAGAGCTGCAATAATTAATTATCACAGACTCACAGAACAGTTATATCTGGAAGGGCCCCTAAAGCTCACCCATTTCCATCCTCCCGCCATGGGCAGGGACACCTTCCTTAGACTAGAGCAGCTTGCTCCAAGCCCCTGTGTCCAACCTGGCCTTGAGCACTGCCAGGGATGGGGCAGCCACAGCTTCTCTGGGCACCCTGTGCCAGCGTCTCAGCACCCTCACAGGGAAGAGCTTCTGCCTAAGAGCTCATCTCAGTCTCCCCTCTGGCAGGTTCAAGCCATTCCCCTTGGCCTGTCCCTAGAGGCCCTTGTCCCAAGCCCCTCTCCAGGTTCCCTGCAGCCCCTTTAGGCACTGGAGCTGCTCTAAGGTCTCCCCTTCAGGAGCCTTCTCTTCTCCAGGCTGCCCCAGCCCAGCTCTCTCAGCCTGGCTCCAGAGCAGAGCTGCTCCAGCCCTCACAGCCTCTCTGTGGCCTCCTCTGGACTCACTCCAACAGCTCCATGTTCCTCTTCTGTTGTTGCCCCGGAGCTGGATGCAGGACAGGTCTCACTGACTCTCCAGCAACAGCATGTGCCAAAACCCCAAAGTTTGCTGTCTTCACATCTTCCTTCCCGCATTCAGGGAAATAGGAGTGTAGTATCTTGAGAGACATTAGTTATAACTTAAATAAGTAAGTTCTAAATAGTTTGAGCCACTTAAGAGTTACAGCATTATGTGATTTAGTGTGCTATTTACTTAGCTTTACTGGCTTAGCATGAGCAGCTAGATGTGCTGAAGCCTGAGGCCATAAGCTGTGGACTTTCATCTAGTTGTGCTTTTGGATGGAATAGAGTTAGTGTTCTTAGTAATTTTCCTAGAAGCTGGCACTGTGTTTTGCCTTGTTTTTAGTGTGAGAAGAATCTCATTAACACACTGATGTTTTAGCTGTTTCTGAGTCATGTTTATCCTTGGTCTATGACTTGTATGTCCTAGGCAAGAAGTGTCCTGGTCAGAGTCTCCCATGCTCTGCCCATGAGTAGAGGCACAAAATCCACAAACCACAAGATATGGAGGCCACAACCATCAGAAGCTGCAACACAACAAGATAAGAACAGTTCATGGCATGCCTATATAGAGAGACAGAAAGGATCCAATAAATAGCTTGAAGACCCCAAACCAGTCTTGAATGGTGTGTGAATGCTCATGCATGCACTTCTCCCCTGACAAATAGGTGCTCTTCACTAACAAATAAAGAACTATTCAAGCAGTGATGACTCCTGAATAAGCTGATCATGAGCAAGATTCAGGTTCTTAACATCACAGCAGGGAGATTCCCAAATGCCCCCTCAAAAAACTGTAATGGGGAAAACCCCACAGCTAGATTCAGCATGTATTTGGGGCCTTCATGGATTAAGTAGTTTGTGGGTTAAACTGGGACTAAAGCTGGTGACACACATGGCCTCCTGCAACACTGCACTCTCCAAAATAATCACTTTGTGAGCAGACGATGCTGCAGAGGCATGTCACAATACAAATACTTCATAGATGACCCACAGCTCATGATCCTGGCATTGGGTTCTCAGTTGTGTCTTGATGGCACTCCACCATTCTCAGGGCCCAATCCAGTGATCATTCACACCAATTACAATATAGCAGCGCTTGCCTCACCAGTGGACTTGTCCCCAGCAAGGGATACCTGCTCATAGACAAATCATAGAGTGGTTTGGGTTGGAATGGACACCCCAGCAACCCACCCCACACCTCTGCCAGGTCTGGTGGACAACCAAGATGATGTGTCTCCATACCACACACAAGGATGAATTTCATCCAAGAGAATGCAAGGGTGGCCCTGGCTTCTCCAGGTGCAGGAGATGTAGAAGTGCTAATGAAGAACTTGCAATGCTGTGGACACCTACTGAACGAACTACTTTCTGTCCATCACACATTTTTATGCTGTTCTCCAACCTACCAGAGGTTTTCTGCAATTCCTATATGGATTGGGTCCTTCTTTCCTTTTTCCCCATGAACAGAGTAATATTCCATCACTGATTTGAGGCATCAGCTTGCAGTAACACCTCTGATCACAGCCAGACACAGCTGTCAAACATTCTGCAAGGAAAGTAGGAAAGCCTACTAATACTTTACACACATCTGCCAGCACCTGCTGGAGTACCCAGAGTGACACAGCTACTTTCATCTCTAAACCCCAGAAAACACAATAACCAGCTCTTTCCAGACAGGGCCTCTAAGAGGAAGGCCAAATGTCTTGCCAAATGTCAAGCTAGGGTCCTTTTTTAGTGCATTTCTCAGCTGTTAAAAACAATCATTTCTTTGCACAGCACCTGGGAAGTGAAGCACACCAAATACTTTTATTTCAGTTTGGGGTATTCAGGACAATGTATCAGCCACTGGTTGACCACAGCTGAAAATCCTGTGCATTAACTCTGTTGCAGAAGAAGTCAGAGAGGATCAAGAGCTGAGAACAGCTGCAAGACTGCTGGGTTTTATTTCCTTTTAAAATAAAATAAAACTTAAAAAAAATAAAACAAAATCAAAGCTTTGTTTTTGCAGTCCTGTACAAACACATGTATTATCTTCATCATTTCACCTGTAAAACACTAATCATTCCCAGAACATTTAAAACACCAGTAATGGATTGATTTCCAAAACTTGTTGTTAGGAAGGAAACAAAGAAAGCCTTCTGAAGCTCTTCCACAGACCGTAGATCAGTTCTATCAGTTCTGCAAACCCCCATCCAAACCATGATACTGGATTTCAGGTGGTATCTGTGAGTTTGCATACACCCACCTGGGCTGAGTGGGCTTAATGCTCCCTTTTTATTCACACCAGATCTCCAAGTCATCCAAGCAGTACTGACTTTTCAATATTATTTATTTTATTATATACAATATCTGTATGTATAATGTACTGTGCCTTATGAGACTTCCGCTCATAATACAATCCTCCTCCTCCACCCAAGGATCCTTATCTTGAAGGATTGCTCAGACTTTGCAGCACACAATCTACTCAAGAAAGGCACTGAAAGAAAGTCAAGTTCTGGCCAAAGTTTCTTCTCTCAAGTATTTTTTCACCCTCGTTCTTGCATCACCAATAAGATTATCACCAACAATTTTTTTTTTGCCAAGAGAATTAGTTTTGAAGATTTCTGCCAAGGAGGATTAGAGGCATTGTTACAAGCTGCCAAGAAGCAAGAATGCAAGTGTATATATGTGTGTCTGGGAAAGGATAAAGTAGAATCATTGCAGCTGAACTTGCCCAGATAACACCAAATAAACACAAAACCTTCTCTTCAGCTGACACAAAAATAGAAAAGCTCTCTGGGTTACCAGGATCCAGACCTAACTCTAGAAATAGGAACACCCCTTATCTTTCTATGCCATGGATTTACTCTCAGGCTGTCAGAGTTGATCCAGTTATTTCCTGTAGAGCTTTTTGCTTTCTATACCTTATCTGAATACGGCTGTAAGTAGCAGAAGGCATGCAAATAAGCTTCCCCAAAGTGCATCACACCAATTCCATCCCCAAGTATCCTCTCAATTATTTGTCTGTAAGTGACTCCATCATGGCTGCACAAATACTCTATATGCTGTAACAAGCGGACAAGATGACCTTTAAAGTTCATCTGGTCCAACCCCCTGCCATAAGGAGGGATCTCTATCTAAACAAGTTGCCCAGAGCCCCATCCAACCTGGCCTTGAATGTTTCCGGGTGACAGGGAATGTCTCACAATCACGAGGGTGGTGAGGCGCACACAGTGCCCAGAGAAGCCGTGGCTGCCCCATCCCCAACAGTGTTCAAGGCCAGGTTGGACACAGGAGCTTGGAGCAACCTAGCCAAGTGGCAGGGAGGTGGAACTGGAAGAGCTTTAGGGTCCCTTCCAACCCTAACCATTCTGTGATTCTATTCTATGAAAGAACCAGCCACAGCTCACCTACCATCAAGCCAAATCCTCACAGATGAACACTTCAATGAGAAGTCAGGTCCTTCCCATCAGTAGGTCATCTACCAAGCTATGAGTCCTGCTTTTTCTGCAGGTCCAGCTGCTGCCCAGGTGTGCACACACATACACACATATATGCATACACCTGAACAGAGATGCCCATGTGTGTTATAGGTGACCAACCCACCTGCAAAAGATATCTTTTCATGTCTAGTGTGGTGTATAATAGACAGAAAGGTGAAAATCATTACCCTACCAGCACACCCAGAAGCAGACTGGAGCATATTCCCACACCACATGGTGACTGCTCTTGCTGTAGAGGTGATCAGCCAGTTCCCCTCATCAGGCCCTGGTTGCAAATTGCTAAATAAAGCCACTTGGGAGAGAAAAAGTTATTCCCAAGGTCTCAGGTGTCCTCAGCAGAGGAACTGGCAGAGGCAGCTATGACGGGAGCCAGGGTATTTATGTACAAAAGGCAGTCAGCTGAGAGCCCTGATGAAGTTAATGAGGGCTTTAAGAAAATATGAAACCACCAAGGACCTATTGACCTCTGAGAGACTGGGGGGAGGGGGGAAATAGCATGAGGAAAGGGCAAGGGGGAAGGAAGAATAACTAATTGCATGTTAAGCAGATGTTCTGCCATTGCACATTTCATCCATAGTATCATTTCTCCCATTTAACTCACCTCGACTTTCTCCATATACTACAGACTAGATCTATTTTGTGTTTTTATACAAAGGAGGAAAAAACCTCCAGTTTCTGACTTCAACATCCGTACAAAGAATAGTAAAATTTGAATACTCAAAGCAAAGCAGCAACCAGGTGTGTTTGATGGAGTCTGTCATATAAACTGAGAATACCTTCAGTCCTGAAGTTAAATGGACCTTGAGGTAGTCTTTTGCTTTTCAGTGATCAATCCTGAACACAGATTTCCTCCCTCTTTCCCAGGCATTTACTACTTGAGGAAAGGAACAGAGGATAACTGGGGGAAGCATGATGGCCAGATTGACCCGCACTCAACCAAAGGGCAGGTCACCACTGCTTTGCTATATAAGCAAGATTAGGTCAGTGCAGAAGTCTTGGGTAAATGTGATCCAGCAATCCTGTGTTGAAGACACCATCTGCAGTGTTTCCTTAGGTCACAACTCAGTAGATGCACTTTCCTTTGAAAAAAGAAAAGTTTTCACTGTAATTAAAGTAATACATAAAGAATTACAGAGCTGGTTTCACGAAGATCCAGCCATCACTGCAGACCACCAGCAAACTAGAGCAAGTGGCATCTTACGAAGTTTCTTTGAAGAGCAACCTTTAAGCTTTAATACTGAACCTTGAAGACATTACATATACCAACCCTGCCACGGGGTGCTATGGGGGATGTTAGGGTTTCTGCACTGCCAGTCAGCTATGCAGCGTGGACCAGTGGGCATGTTTACTCTACAGCATGCCATACCTCCAAGAGAAAAGGTTTAGTTTAAGCCTTTTTGTGGTGTACTTGTTATGATGAAAAAGCATTTTCCCACAAATGGCTGTTTATGAACACAGCCAAGTTATCTGAGCTTGTGCCTATGTGTACACATTGAAGCATTTTTTGCTTTATTGGCTTTTGTAAACTCAAAAAAACACCGAAGCATGAACAAATAATGGAGCCATTTAGTGAACAAAATTTCTTCAAAGAGCTAAAGAACCAAAGTATTTGAAAGATTTTGAGTCAGAAATTCAAAGCCTGCTCTTTCAGGTATAAATCATAAGCTAAGGTGGTGATGGTACACATACTCCAAAAGTCAGTCTGAGTTCATAGAATCATAGAATAGTTAGGGTTGGAAAGGACCTTAAGATCATCAAGTTCCAACCCCCCTGCCATGGGCAGGGACACCTCGCTCTAAACCCTACTACCCAACGCCTCGTCCAACCTAGCCTTGAACACTGCCAGGGATGAAGCATTCACAACCACCCTGGACAACCTATTCCAGTGCCTCACTACCCTAACAGGAAAGAATTTCCTCCTTATACCCAATCTAAACTTCCCCTGTTTAAGTTTTAACCCATTAGAGTTAGACACTAGAGTTTAATAAAGAATATGACATATAGCAACGTGGATTTTTTAAACAGAGAGGATGCATCACTAACCTGAATTCTCTCCCTGATCATTGTCTATTTTTGAAGAAGAGGAAATGTGCCAGCTTTCTTACACTTGCAAGTTAGTCTGTTATGGAATAATCTGCAAAGTGGAAAATTATTTAATTCAGCTACAGAAGGTGTGGACTGATTCAAATATTGTTGAGTAGTGGAGACATAAGGAGAATAAATGAGCTCAAGCTTATCAAATGGAAACCAGTGTTTACGTGTGTATGTGAATGAGAGGCATGAACCTAATTAACAAATAAAGGAATAATCTATGAAGGAAAAGGTCTTTTTTTCCTATGGATGAAAATAGTCTCCAAGTACATGGGGCAAGCTCCCAGCACTAGCCTACCCACCTCATCCTTCTCACCCTGGGTTTCTTGTATGTGGCCAAACATTGGATTGGCTCTTCTGTTTTTATGGGTGTTTTTCATATCAGTCCCACTAAATGTGGTCATGAGAAGGAACATGCTACTCAGATACATTAATATCTTCACTGAATAATACAACTAATGCTTGGGAAATTCCTAAAGTTTTAAATGTGGTTAATTTGGCATCCCTTTGATCTATCAACAGCTACCCCTCCTAGATATATATATGCACGACCAGAGGAAACTCCCCAAAACCACAGCAATGTGGAAAAGTGTGTGGACTACCCTCATTCAAGCCAGACAGCAAGATAACGGTGGGGTGAAGATGTTTCCTCACACCAACAGCAAGGCCATTGCAATCTTGAGCTGTTGAATTCAGCAAAGAGCAGAGTAACTCTGCTGCACCACCCTCGTTTATACCAAGCAACCACCTAAATCATAGAATAGAATCCCAGACTGGTTTGAGTTGGAAGGAACCTTAAAGCTCATTCAGTTCCAACCCCCTACCACAGGCAGGGACACTTTCCACTAGAGCAGGTTGCTCCAAGCCCCATCCAACCTGGCAGTACAAACACAGTAAAACTGACTGGCTTGCGAGAATATCTTAGATGTTAGCTGCATTTTAAGCTAATGAAGTTCCTACACTTCCTCCCAGACCATTCCAGACTGTAATTTCACTTTGAAAGAATCAGACTGTCTGAAATCCCACACCAACATTTTTCTGCAGGGTGATATTTACATATATATATACATGTGATTTCTGGACTGTGGGTTGCAAAGGTATTAACCTACTCTACTGAGAGTTTGAAGACTAATGTTGCCTCTGTCACTGTTGATCTCATCAACTTTGGTGTGTGTGTCTTGCTCTGTCTTCCCTTCAAATGCTTCTCCTGAAGAAATACATAGGAAACACTTCAGATACATCTCTGTGTTATAAATCAAGAAGCAACATTAACACTCAAAGTGCTTAATAACCATCTATCAAGATACGGCAATAAAGTAAATTAATACTCCAGAGTCCTGATTTGAATCTCACATTGGTGCTACAGCATTAAAACTATTGGTTTCAGTTGTGTCATTTACAGACAAATAACAGGCTAGCCTGACCTTGCATCGCCCTAATAAATACGTTACAGTAACAACAGATCTGGAGTCAAAAGGAGTTTGCCACTGGTTACAACAGTAGCATAGTGTAAATAATACATTGATATCAGAAAAGCAATTACATCCCAATATTGGAACTCATATGAGCACAAACTGCTCTGCAACACAAGCTGGCTCTTCTGGGATGAATGACCTTTCTTAATTACACTGTTACAGATAGCTAGATATTCACTTTGTTCCTGTAGTTATGCAAAACGGGAGCTGTTCCAGGTTTAAGATCAGACCAATTTTGCTTCGGTTTTTCTCTTTAAAGATAATATTTGATATTTTGGAGAAAACAAAACTTAACCTTGGCCTTGGACAGGGACAGGTTGACATTTCCTTTTAGCTCTAGTCCTGCCAGGGTGCTGCAGAGCGGACAGAAGAAAGACAGGATGTGGCATGCTCAGGAAATCCATAATCAGTCTGATGGCGTTTTGGACAAACAAAACCAACGCTTGGCCTAAGCTGGCAAATTTAGGGCACGTTTCTACAAACAGAGCCTTGGTAAGGAGCTCACCTGTAGTCTTTACAGTGGAGATGCCTAAAATTAGGAAAGATGAATCTCACACTAAGTATTGCTGGTTTGTATTTGCAGGAGGTGCAGACTCAACATTTCTCTGTTTTTCCATTTGTAAACTGAGAATATGAATAATATTCAGCTAAGTTCATTAACGCTACTCAGACTGTTGGAAATCAATGGCCAATCAATCACCTTTTCATTTATCAGGGTCTTAACACATTGGGGTTGTATCTCAAACGGTCAACAAGCAAAACCTTGACCTCAGGTTTGGATAAAACCATTTTCTGCTAGGCTGAGATCCCATTTGTCACTTAAAAATGATGAAACTTAACACTGAGATGAGCCACACTCAGTTTTCTTATGCAGAGTATGATCTGGTTAAAAAAAGGAGGGTCAAGGCTAACAACCCAACTAGACCCATTTAAGTCCTTATGATTTATGGATGGATGAAGACAGCCTTTAACAAATAACTGTTTTCCATAGCAAGCCACTTGAAATAGCCATAATAATGGTATAAAAGTAGGTAACAAAAAATAGTATTTTTAAGTTAAAATAATATTGGCTAAGGTAAGGGGATGGGGCTAAACTACTTTAATGTCCTTTGAAGCACCCACTGCAAAAACATCTGTTTGATAGCTCAGTGAATGAATCTTGTTTTATTTTTCTTGCTGGTTATTAGTATAACGTTAAAAATCAAAAGACTAATAGATGAAAATGAGTTGTTAAGGCATAGGTTAATTAATACCCAGAAATTAAATCTTTTGTTCAAGCAGCTACAAAGTTTGCTAATTACAAAAATACATTTTTCAAGCAAAAGCTTAGCAATACTAAAAATCTGCACTAGGGAAGGACAAAAATCCTCAACACGGAAGATAAGAATGAGCTGTGCCCCAAAGCCCTACTGCTGATGAGACCCCTGCAGAGGACAGTCAGCATCTGGTGAGCTGGTTGAAAGCTCACCCAAAAACTTTAATGATAAGAGCTTATAAAGATGCAAATGCTTGCTACTTTTCCAAGAGAATCACTGAGTGAATCTGTATGTGTCTTATCAGCCTCTTCCGTGTGACAAACAGTTTAGCATCAGGCTGGAAAAGTGTGTGCAAATCTACTAGGATAAAGAAGTATTAACAGAGCAGTTATTGGGCAAGTACTTACTATTTGGAGTCAAGAGTGCCTGTTGTCATGATGTCTTATAGAAAGGGCTGTGTAAGCCCCTGCCTGTTGTCTGTCTGTCCCTCCCTTCTGCCTTACAACTCC